AGGGCGTAGAACAGAAAATAAGCCATTGAAATGTTGCGGCGGCGTTGCAGAGTCCAAATGACAGTGTCTGGAACTCAAATAGTCGTTGTGGGGTAATGTGCACTGTATTCTGACGGTCGTTCGGATGTAGCTGTGCCTGCCAATACCCGGAGTTAAGAATACGGGGTCGAACACCAAGCGGCGTTTCCAAGTGAGTCTATTGTGTCGTATAGCCTGGGCAAAGGAAATGAGTCACGTATGGCGCTGCATTTAGCCGACGGTAGTGGATACAATGACGTAGTGAACCGTCTTTTTTGGGATCAAGGTTATGAAGGAAGCCCATTGGGACGAGAAAGGTTTGACGAATTTAAATTGTTAAAACTAATCGACAATTATTTCGATATGGTCGCGATAACGAAAAGGAATGCGACGGGGAGATTGTCACACTAAGCGCTTTTTTCCTTAAGTAAGTAAGGTCTGGCACTGTGGTTACACTGCCCGCAGCAATTCATTAATAAATTTGCGCGAGAAAAATCACATACCGAAAATAGAAAGTGTCCTACAAAATTATTGAAAGCTGACGGGATCATGACCTGCAGGTCCCAACTATATTCAATGCTTTTGAAGAATGCTTACATGTAAGCAAGAAGATTCCGTTGGGTACTGAAAATAAACCGTTAACTAACTAAACTCTGCCTATCCTGTCGCGTGCAATTTTATTAACTTATACGATTTTATCATCTAGGGAAAGGGACGCATGGGCCAGAGAGGTATCCTCCCCATACTATTTGTCTAGACAAACTGAAAGGACAAGGGAGGTTCATGGCAGAGATAAAAAGTTAAAAGGCGTTCAAATAAAACTCCTGTTTAAGAGGCAGGTTAGTAAGCTAGTTTTTCTCAATGTCTTCACTCGGAAAGCACTTGCTTTGCGAGCATTATTAATAAAGCTACGAAAAATTATGTAAAAAGTTAATAAAGCTAGGTGAGGCATCGCCAAATGGTTGCGTTGTTGACTCCGGTAATGTCCTTACGCGAACGCAATAACGCTGTTATTGCGTTATGCTAAGATATAGCTATTATTTCTGCGAAATC